CCCGATAATAACCTTAACACTTTTGTTAACAGAACAAAAGACAAAAGCAAAAAAAGCCACGACAACAACAACATGTAACTGCATTTGCTCTATCAACGAAAAAAAAAAAACAAAACCTTCATCACCAAGTACAGAGAGGGAGAGAGAGTGGAAAATGGTGAGTAGGGTATTTTTTGCAGATCTTGCATTTCCATTGTATGTTAAAATATTGTTAATTTATTATTTCCCAGCTTTAGTTTTCGAATTAACCACTATTTATTTCAAGGCCTGCAGGAAATGTGACGACGAAGACAACAAACAACAACAAAATTTTCTACATTATTTTGTAGCAGCCAACCAACCAGTCAGCCAGAATGAATACCCCGCAAACAGAGTTTAACCTGCTGCTTTTGGCCCGTCACAAAGGGGTCTATATAGTGGTTGTGAATGGTTGGTTGCTGGCTGGCAGGCTGGCGCATGATCTTTCTTCCGGTCTCAGTACTTCATTTTTTTTTTGGGTTGGCAAATAAGACGCACAACAATTACAAAAACAACAACTACAACATTAACGACGACAACTACGGCAATGTTACGGTGGTTATTGTCCTAACACGAAGAAGACGATAACAACGACGACGCAAAACACCATTAAAGGTAGTCTCGCTTGTTGGGTTTGTTGTTGTTTTTGTTTGTTTGCAGACTATATTCTGCTGCTAATGGATGGAAAGATAGATGGTTGACTGACTCGCTGGCTGGATATTTAGTTTTTTGTTGTTGTTGTTTTTGTTACAATTGCCTCAAGCTACCACAGGCAATTAACAATAATATTAATTTGCTTGGCTATTTTTATTTTTTCTCATCTTTTTTTTGTCCATTATTATTGTTTCTTCTAATTGTCATCTTCTGTTTCTGCTTCTTCTTCCTGCTTTTGCTGTATGGTGAAAATTTTACCGAAAATATAAAATAACAACAACACCAACGAAAAACAACTCATCTACGAAAAAAAATAGAGTAGCTGCTGTGGCTCGTTGTTATTTATAACAAAAACACAACAACAAAAAACGACAACTTACTGTTGAATGACCCAAATTAAGAAACATTCACATATTATTTTCATTTAGAGCAGGTCGGGTAAAAACTAACGACACAGCAGCGCGCTGATGGTGGTGGGAGGAGGAGGAGGTAGAAGGCAGAGACAGTTTGGCAGCAGCGGAGAGGCAAACCCAAAAAACGAAATATATTTTTTGGGGGAGAGAGAGTAATTGTTTTCTGCCTTGCCTGTTTGGGCATGATAGAAATGGAGCCCATCATCATAGAGAATAGCCATACGAAATACAACAACAACAAAACCGTTTGTTACAAGTTTCTATTTTTTATTCTTTTTTGTACTTACGGCATTGAGGTGAAACTTTTTTTGTCAAAAAACAATTAAAATAAAATTAAATTTCATACTCTGTGTGTGTTTTGTTTCATTTTGTTTAAACAAGATCAGTTCATGGCGTCCGTTTTCTTTTTTACTTTTTTCTCTTTCTTTTCTGTTACCACTTTTGTTTGATTTTAACTGGTATGGTGGGTATTCTTTTTTCTTTCCTTCTTTTTTTATTTTCTGTTTATTCAGTACAAATAATAATTATAATTTCTTCTTTCTTTTCTTCGTTTAGGTCGATTGGTTGGTTAGATGGCTGGCTGGTTGGTTTGTTGGCTGGCTGGCTGGTTGTCTCTCGTTGTATACACACAACGGCATACACAAACATGCACACACACACATTCACTCACTCTCACACAACTATAGATTTTTATAACGTCAACGACGACGACGAACGACCGTCCGACCGAGCGAGCAAGCAAACTGCTTGAGAAAATGAAACGTAATAATTTTTCATCTACCTTGTTTTTTTGTAGTTAACTCACACACACACACAATCATAGAAATATTAACACTATTTTTTTTATTAAATCTTGGTAACACCACACACTGTTCGTTCTTTTGTTAACAATTTATATCTTTAAACAATTTTTCTTTTCGTTTCTCAATAGATTTTCTTTTACAAAAGTGACAAATTCACCACCACTACCAGCAGCTCTTCACAAGAGGAGCAACGAACGACGAGCTGCTCGTTTTGTTCGGTTCATGTATTGGTCCTATTGGCCATTTTGATGATTCAAGTTTTTTCTTGCTTTTTTTCTTTTGGATTTTCGTTTTTCTCAACAATTTTTTTAGCAGCACACAAAGTGGTTTTGTTTTTTTTTTTCGTTCATCACTTACGAACTTGATTTGACGTAAACCTTTTAATATGACGGAAAATTGCCATTACTGCCAAACATTTGTTACAAAAAAAAAATTAAAAACCCCAAATAAAAGATGATGGAGAGGAAAATATGTATATGCTTGTACATATATACAACCATATACTTTGCTATATATATATGTATATAACAAAATAAAAACTACATATGAAAATATGCACATATATCTCTATACAGAGGAGTATATATACATATTTGTGTCTAAGAGCAGCAGCAGCGGCACAATTCGACACTGAAGCAGCAGCAGCAGGCACAATGATCCAGAGCTAGAGCTATATATATTTGTTGGTATTGGTGTGCAGCAGAGAAAAACCTTGGCTGTATGTGTATTTGTATAGTCGGGGTTCTGGCAAACTTTTCTTTTTTTCATTTCGTTTCTCGTATTTTTTTTCTTCATCTCTCGTAAGAGTTGATTTTTTTCTTTTTTATTTTTACACTTTATCATTTGCAATTTATCTTGATTTTCATATATAAAACGTTTCCATTCTATTCACACTACACTTACATAAAAGCCTTAGCGTTAAGCAAAATCTTAATAAAATTGTATTATTTGTTCACTTTTAATCATTGACTTTTCCGTACACACACTGAAATTCTCCAACTTCACAGTAAATTCATGTCCGCCATATTTGATTTGGCAACGGTGATGCCACTCTTGCAAATAATTTACGGTGTACGATGGCATGCAACACTGTTGCGGTGATTGATTACTTGATGGGTTGTTTGTGTGCAGGGTTGTATTTAGCACTAGAAAAATGTTTGTGTGGCAGTTTTCAGAGACTGTTAGCTTTTGTATAGATATCAAATTAATTAATAAAATGAAATTTTAAAGGAATAAAAAGCATTTATATGAAATATACATTATATTTAATTGTTTACATGAACTCTAAACGTTATTTACTGTCTTCTCCCATTCATAAAGTCTCATGGCAACACATCAAATTTGCTATACAATGCAATTTGAACCAGGTTAAATTAAAGTTATTGATTAATTGTTTAAATAATTGAAATTATTTTATTCAAAACTTAACGAAAATATACACCTACGTTTACATCTATATAATTTATTGGGGCGTTTAATGTATGAACCTAAATTCAAATAGCAGCATTACATATATCTTTGACCCATGTTAGAAGTTAGAATTGGTTTGCAGAAAATTACTACACTGTAATAGTACCCTATTATGTCATTTTTTACTTCTTGACAGATAGATTTGTTTAATAGTTTTTTTATTTTATTAAATGAATACATTTGGCGTAACCATTATTGTAAAATGACTCCAAAAATGTCATGTTAGTGAATACATATTTGCTTATTTTATATTAAAAGTTTATATTATTAATAATTGTTCTGTTCCAAACCCTACAAGGGTTTTCTATTAAACATTTAGTTAACCCAGTGGATTTTAAATGAATGTTAACCATGCAAAAATTTTATGAGGATTTTTTAAAAAATATACAATGTAATTAAAAAGTTAAGCCCAATGGATTTATTAAAACCAGTATAGTTTAATTGTGCTTTTAATCGATTTTTTTTTTGGATTTTTTCCCTAAATAAATTTGAAGAGTTTTTACCATGGTACTTTTTTCTTGATGTGGCTTGTTATGTCCAGGCCATATACCAAATTTGTGTATTTTTTTTTCAAAAATATAAAAAAACATTACTTTCAATTCAAACTGTTTTAAATATGCAATTTGTGGGATGAATCAGTCTCTGAATTTTATTTCCTATTTGATTTTATTAAGAAAACTTATTCTGACATAACAAGCCTCATTGTAGAGTTGTATTTTTTCTTTGTTGACAAAAGCAATCCTACCTTTTATAACTGTACCATGATTTTTACCACTTTTTCAGTACGGGAACAGATGAAATTGATCAGGCTCCTGGTTAATCCACTCAATATCTCAATTTGCTCGAAATCTAATTTTAAATCGGTTTAATTTCAATTACAATCCTGCTTTAAAAAAATGAGTTTTAAAATATGTAAAAATTCAAAATATGTGCCTAACAAAAATATGGCAGGTGGTGAAAAATTGAATTTGTTTAAATTTGCAATAAATATTACTAAAATTTAAAACAACAGTTTTTACGCATTTTTGATCTGTTGAAGAGCAATTCCTTATAAGAATTTGTCATAGAAATTAATACATCCGAAATCGTTCATTATGAGATAGTTTATATCAACATATCGGGTATAACGACTGTAACCAAAGACCGAGAAAAGTTTTACCCTTTATTTGATATTGTTTATAACGATATATTACTTATAGCGAACAATTTCGCAGGTCCCTTGACGGTCGTTATAATCGATTTCGACAGTATTTATAGGAATTTTTTATATTTTCAAAATTTCATACAATATGGGTTTTTTCACTAAAATAATAACATATATTTTATTAATCTACTCCAATAATCGTATTTTTATTTGTTTTAATGGATTTTTGCTTAAATTAAACAATTTTATTCTTAATTATGTGTCAAAACTGCATTAACGCATCTCTACGTTGTAGTAACGTCACCATACCAACGCCGTTACGTACGCATAACCCAAAGTCTACCACATACGTTACCCGGGCAAACAAATTGTTGATTCAACGCCGTTAGCCACGTGAGTTCGGCATCGATCTCCGTACACGTTGAAAGCGGTCTGTTTACATTTTTGCCATTTATTGCAAGAAATATAATTAAAAATAATAATAAAAAAGGCATTACAATGGCACCGAGAATACCCGACAGGTGAGCTTGTAGGACAAACAACGACAAATGCAAAAATTCAAATGGAATTATGTGGAAAAATATTGATTAAATTATGTGAAGCTTGTTACTGCTTGCGTGAAGAAGTGTTATGTTTCTATTGTTGTGGAAATGAAATAAGAGAAACGAATAATTCAAAAGAACCGGTTATGCCCTAATTAGTTTTGTGTATAATTCTCATGAAACCCAAAGGATCGAATAGGAATTCTATTATGTATATGGATGGTATTAATGTGTTTGTATCTTTAATTTTTTTGCAGATGGCTGGATTATAAAGCCGTTGGAGATCGCATAGAGGGCACCAGGTTTATTGCCTTTAAAGTTCCCTTGAAACCGGTAAGTTATTTATATTAAACTTACAAAAATTTAAAGCTATAACTATTTGTTTTATTCCTTTCCAGCAACTAACTGAGGCCGAAAATCGTTTTGATGGTAAAATGCTATTGGAGCAAGTACCCAATTTGGGTATAATTATTGATCTAACCAATACCAATCGTTATTATAATCCAAAAGTAAGTTTGAGTTTCTTTGTAATGATCTTGGAATTATATTTTAATTGTCCGCTCTATTCTATCTAAGCAGGTCTTTGAAGACGAGGGTGTCCAACATCAAAAATTGATGATTCCTGGCCATGTTACACCACCGCAAAGATTGATAAACAAGTGAGTAGGCATTCGATTTATATTGTTTTCTTTGCTTATCTTTTATCATTTCATTTCACTTTCAGATTTAAGGACTATGTTAAGGAGTTTTTACAAAATAACCCAGATAATGGTATGTATTGTATTGTGATTTCGTTAAGGCAGAGGTTATTGAATGCTCAGCCAACAATCAAAATGAAGTTGCTTTCACTCAAAGACCTTTGCTCCATTGTGTCCATCTTGAATACCACAGAGGAGAAGATACAAGAAAAGAAAAACAGAGGGGATGGAAGATAAAATTAAGTATTATAGCTAAATTATGACAGATTTTGGTATACACCTTTGTGATATGATATTTCACAACCACCGGACGGCTTAGAGATCGTAATGTATGCGGATGATCAGTATGGCGTCGGTTTCCCATTATTGATGACATTTTCTGAGAGGTTAAAGTTCTACAAAACTGATCTTGTAAATTTCTTCCATCTGAGGAATATGAAAATATCCACCACGTAATCAACAGCCACACTGTTCAACCTATGGCCGGCTGAAATGAAACTGCCACTGGTGGATGGGGAACTAATTTCGACCACTAACTACCCCACGCATGCCACTGCTTTATGCGATAATCTGAAAAGTAGGAATAAGGTCTTCAAGTCGCTGGTCGGTAGTATTTGGGGTGCTGACAAAGAAACTTTGTTGACCTCTCATAAAGCAATAGACCGGTCAGTGGCAAGCTATGCGTTTATAAAAACAAAAAGTAGGGGAACAGAATTTCCACCCCAGAGAGGTAGTCCTGTTCATGGCAGATCAAAACTAGAACGACTTCGAATAGGAGACCATAAGGATTTTCTTATAACAGAACAATAGGGCTAGATAGAAAGTCTTCTCCCAGAACACCAGAAGTGTCTTCTCCTAGAACGTCAAAAGGTTCTTCTTTTCTAGAAGAGCTGAAGGATCTCGTAGAATAGTAATAAGTCTTTCAATTTAAAAATCAGTAGGCTTTCAAACATAGACTTAGTGTCTCATGTCACTTTAAATTCCACCCCATTATGGTGGAATTGACATATGGTAACATATGTCGGAAGAAGCAGAAGAAGAAGTAGGCCTTCACCTAGAAACCCCGCTGCTGATCTCCAAGAAGACCTTTACAAAAACAAAAACTAGGAGAACAGAATTTCTACCCCAGAGAGGTAGTCCTGTTCATGGCAGATCGAAGTAGAACGACTACGAATAGGAGACCAGAAGGAATTTCTTATAACAGAACTATAGGGCCAGATAGAAAGTCTTCTCCCAGAACACCAAAAGGATCTTCGCCTAGAACGTCAGAAGGTTCTTCTCCTAGTTGATCAGAAGGATCTTCTCGTAGAATACTAATAAGTTTCTCAATTTAAAAATGAGTAGGCCTTCACCTTGAAACCCAGCTACCTCAAGGGTTTTTGTCATAGAAACCCAGGTGGTCTTCACCTAGAAGATAAGCTCATCTCCTTTTATAGGATCTCCTAGAAGACCAGCTCATTTTTCCTGAATTCTGCTAGAATACCAGAAGAATCTTCTCCTAGAAAGTCTTCTGCCAGAACATATGAAGAGTCGTCTTCTAGAATATCGGAAGGATCTTCTCCTAAAAGTTCAATAAGTCTTTTATTTGAAAACCTGTAGGTCTTCACATAAAAACCCAGCTGTTGTTCTCCTATAGATCAGATTTTTTTCAAAAAGACCAAGACCACTTTCTCTTCTTCGGAAGTTGAGGTCTTTTCTCACAGAAACCCAGGTGAGCTTCACCTATAGATCAGATTTTTTTCAAAAAGACCAAGACCACTTTCTCTTCTTCGGAAGTCACACATCTTAATTTTATTCATTTCCAATTCGAAGACTATCTAGCCATGTCCGTCCGTCCGTCTGTTGTAATCATGCTCTTCTGAAGAAATTGAGATAGATCGTCAAAATAGACGAGTCGCCTTTTGTCTGCAGGCAGGCCACGTTCGAAGATGGGCTATATCGGTCAACGTTTAGGCTTAGCCCCCATATAAGGGTACCGATATTTTGGGGCTCTTGAGCGCGCTTTTCAACCGAATTCGCTGAAATTTGGTACAATGGGTTTATTTTGAGAACCAAATTTTTCCACAAAAAATTATAAATAAAGGTCCACTTTTTCTGATGGTCCCCATATAACGGTGCCTCCTAATTTTCAGTATTTTGGAGCTTCTGATCGTATTTTTTCACCGTATTGGCTGTAATTTAGTATTTTGAGTTCTTAATAGGTATTAAGTCTCTACACAAAAAATTAAAAAATATAGGTCAATTTTTTCGGGTAGCCACCATATAACGCTACCCCCCAATTTTCAGTATTTTGGGGGTTCTTATCGTATTTTTCCACCGAATTGGCTGTAGTTTAGTATTTTAAGTTCTTAATAGGTATTAAGTCTCTACACAAAAAATTATGAATATAGGTCCATTTTATCGGATAGTCCCATAGAACGGTATACCCCAATTGATGGTGTTTTGGAGTTCTTGAGCGTGTTTTTCAAACGAAATCGCTTAAATTTTGTACAATGAATTATTTTTGGGTACCAAATTTCTCCACAAAAAAATTATAAATATAGGTCCACCTTTTCTGCTGGCCCCCATTTAACGGTACCCCCTAATTTTCGGTATTTTGGGGTTCTTGAGCGCGCTTTTCAACCAAATTCGCTGAAATTTGGTACAATGGGTTCTTATTGGGTATCAAATTTCTCCGCTAAAAATTATAAATATAGGTCCACCTTTTCAGCTGGTCCCCATATAACGGTATCACCCAATTTTCGATATTTTGGGGTTCTTGAGCGCGCTTTTCAATCAAATTCGCTGAAATTCGGTACAATGGGTTCTTATTGGGTACCAAATTTCTCCGCTAAAAATTATAAATATAGGTCCACCTTTTCAGCTGGTCCCCATATAACGGTATCCCCCAATTTTCGATATTTTGGGGTCCTTGAGGTCGTTTTTCATCCGAATTTGGTACATTGGGTTCTTATTGTGTACTAAATGTCTCCACAAAAAATTATAAATAAAGGTCCATTTTATCGGGTAGCCCCCACATAACGGTACCCCAAATTTTCGGCATTTTGGGGTTATTGAGCGCGTTTTTCAACCGAATTCGCTGAAATTTGATACATTGGGCTCTTATTGGGTACTAAATCTCTCCACAATAAATTTTAAATATAGGTCCAATTTTTCTGATAGCCCCCATATAAGGACAACCCCAAATTTTCGGTATTTTTGGGGGTTCTGATCGTATTTTTGCACCGAATTGGCTGTAATTTAGTATTTTGAGTTCCTAATAGGTAACAAATCTCTACACAAAAAATTATGAATTTAGGTAAATTTTTTCGGATAGCCCCCATATAAGGGCATCCTCAATTTTCGGTATTTCCAGAAAGAATTTTAAAGATTTTTTTCTTTTTTCAGCTACACTTTTGGTCTTCCCCACACCCTTACCTCAAAGTTAAACCATTGCCAAACTAAGGCTAGTCATAAAAATTCTATCGACTTTACAAAAAAAAAAATTACGATTCTTAAGAAAACCCAATTCGTCGCAAATCTAAATGGGTTAATAGTCACTAAGACCGAACAAACAAACAAAATGTACAATTTGTTTCCAAACCAAATATCTGAACAAAAAACACACATACGCAGACAGACAGACGGACACATGCTTACAAATAATACTTGGATTTATTTTTACAAGTTAAACTAATAGCAACAAATCAGACATGTCGTCGGTGGTCGTCTTGTCATCTTCTCTCGAGTTATAGAACATTTCGAAGAACTCGAAGAATGTTGAAGCCATACAAACAGCACACACACTCGCTCACTCGCCCGCTCGTTAAACTCTAAAGGGGAGCAAAGGATGTTTGGGTTTTTCTAGATGCTGCAGGCAAATGTTTTACTGCTACCAACATCAGGCATAACCTCCCTCCTAGTAGTAGTTCCCAACGAACATCAGCAGCATCTTGGAGTATTTCTTATTTTTTTAGATTATTGGTGGCGTTGCATAGCTGGCTGGTTGGTTGGCTCATTTCAGTCACCCTGCCAGCCAGCCACTGCAGCACCACACAGCAAGTGTAGTTGTTGTTTTGTGCTTCTTTTGTTTTTTGGTTTTAGCCGCATTTTTTTTTTTTTTTGGTTGTTGGTTATTTGCAAACTCCAGCCTGCTTGCTTTCTTTGGTCAAATTATGCTGCTGACATGTTTTGTACAATTTATGACCAATGTTTTTTTCCATCTTCTTCTTCTCCGCGTTGTTGTTGTTTGCTTCTCCTGCTTTGTGTTACAGTGTGAAGAAAATAAATGCGGGCGGGCATACCATTCCAAGCTCATATCATTGTAAAGATATAAATATTTTTTTTCGGTTACTAAAATTCGTTTAACGTCGTCTTCATCATCGTGGTAGTCTAGTGTGGGTCAGGTTGGTTGACTTGCACAGGATAGCCAAGTAATTCAAACTATGTGCCATGACTTGGCGTTTCTTTTGATTTACTTGGCAATGATTGCCGGTTGGCTGGCTGGCGTTTTACTACCGAGAGTTTTTTTGTCTTTTGTAAAAGAACCTATGTTTGTTCGGCAAGCCAGTTTTGAGCCCGTTGCCGTGTGGGTGTTTGATGACATACATACTGCTTGGGCTGCTGTAGTTATGGTCATGTGTGGTGCTACACATCATCATGATCATGGAGTGTAAATTTCATTTGTATGCCCCATTGTCTTTGGATATTTTCGAGGGTAAGGAACGGTTTGGAAATGTAGCTCCATTTTTTGCAATTGTTTTGTTTTGGTTCGCATGCCTTGTGGACAAATGAAACTATATTTTGATTTGATCTTGAATTGATTGGATCATGTGATAATCGTGTTGACACCATTGAGGCTACTTAATGGGTGGTCATCAATTATTCTGATGTTGAAAAGGGAGGATCTTCTGGGTTTCTGTGAGAAAATTTGCCTGACATTCAGAAGAAGAGATGCTGCAGAAAAAGCTACTGATCTTCCAAGGGAAGAGCTAGTGAAAAACGAACTACTCGACTTTTTGGAGAAGTCGTTGTGGTCGTCTAGGAGAAGACAGATCCATTGAGAACTGGTTATATTAGTCTTCTACGAGAATAGAAAACGGTCGTCTTGAAGAAATGCTTGTGGGTTTCTAAAAGAAGACCTAGAGAAGTCGAACTTGTCGTCTATGAAAACGGCTATGTGTCTTTCCCTTGTGGGACATTTGGCTAGTGGTCGTCTAGAGGAAGAGAAGTCCAACTTGTCGTCTATGAAAAGATCTATGTGTTCTCCCCTTGTGTAATCGCGGGTAGAGCTGTGGCTCGGTGTGGAGTTGCATTACAACCGGGTGCCTGACCCATAGAAATACAGGAGTTTTAGATGGGCTCCGCTCCTCATCCAAGGAGGTGATCGCGTCCAAATACGTGTGATCGATTGGTACCTGCATTTCGGCGTGGGGGCGTTGGTAGACGCTTTGTATTAACTGGTGTTTACAGCACCGTGGGGTAAGACCGCAAGGTAGGTACCCACGTACTCCTTTGGGTACCTTTGGGAGAAGAGAAAGTGCTCCTCTACTACTCTCGTCTTCGAAATCGTAGTGGTCGTCTAGAAGAAGACTTTGTCCTTATCTTCTAGGAACATATCTATATTTCTTCCGGGAAAAGGGAAAATGGCCCACTAGGGAAAGACTTGATTGTCCATTAAGGAAAGGAGAATAAAAAATTGGTTTTCTAAAAGAAGAGCTACGAGTCTTCTAGGAGAAGAGCTACGAGTTTTCTAGGAGAAGTCATACTGATCGTCTAGGTGAAAATTTAGAGAAGTCCTTCTTGTCGTTCAAATGTTCCACAATACCAGGTACTGTAGGAAAGTCGTCCTGCAGGAAACTAGAAATTGATATTAATGAGAATCCCATGATACCCTGTGAAGAAGGCCTATTTGTCTTCTAGAAAAAAAAAACGGTCTGGTCTTCTAAGAGATGGAAATCGGCTGATCTTCTAGAGAAGGGTCAGTTGGGTTTCTATGGAAACCCCCTTTCTGATCCTCTAGGAGAACAACAGCTGGGTTCCTAGGAGAAGATCTTGCCCTTGTCTTCTAGGAGAAGATTTGTGGGTCTTCCGGAGAGGGACAATTGTCTTCTAGGAGATGGAAATCGGCTGGATTTCTATGGAAACCCCCTTTCTGGTCCTCTAGGAGAACAACAACTGAGTTCCTAGGAGAAGATCTTGCCCTGTGGGTCTTCCCAAGAATACCAAATGGATAGAAGAAGACTTACTGGCCCTCTAGCAGAAGCGTAATTGGACTTGGTCCTTTAGAAAAAAATCTGGTCTATAGGAGAAAGTAGATCGGCTGGTCTTCTGGCTAAAGATCAACTAGGTTTCTATGAGAAAATCGCTGAGGTCTTCTAGGAGAACAAAAGTTGGGTTTCTAGGTGAAGGCCTCCTACTGGTCTTTAAATAAAATACTCATTGGTATTCTAGGAGAGAACCCCTTCTCTTATAGGAGAAGACCTTCTCTTCTATGTGTTCTGGGAGAAGACCTTCTTCTCTTCTAGGAGAAGACCTTCCTTCTGTTATTCTAAGAGAACATCCTTCTGCTCTTCTAAAGGGAAGACCCTTCTGGTGTTCTAGAAGAAGCCCCTTCTGGTGTTTAGGAAGAAGACCTATTGGTCTGCTAGGAGAACAACAGCTGATTTTCTAGGTAAAGTCCACTAATATTCAAATAGAACACTTATTTGGCCTTTTTGAGGAGTAGATCCTTCTGCTATTCTTTGAGAAACCCTTTCTGGTGTTCTTGCAGTAGACCTTTTTGTCTTCAAAGATCAAGGTTTTGAAGATGACCTTGTCTTCTAGATGAAGTCCAACGGGTCGTCATCTGCACTTCGATTGGAACACCAATCTCTCCTTCTAAAAGAAGATCTTTCAGATAATCTTTAAGAAACCTCATTTGTTTTTCTTCTACCTATAAGAAGACCTATCCGGCCTTTTATAGGAAAAATCCTTTTGGTCTATTATAAGAAAATCCTTCTGGTCTCCTATTCGAAGTCGTTCTAGTTTGGTCTTCTATGACCAACTCCATTTCTGGGACAGATATTCTGTACTCCTACTTTTTATTTTTGTTTTTAAAAACGAGGATACCTTGTGGTCTTCTAAACAAAGAACTTTCCGATCTTGTAAAGTAAAGAACTTCCGGTCTGCTAAACGATAGCCTTCTGGTAATCCATAAAAATACTCGATCTTCTGTGAAAAGACCCTTCTGGGTCTTCCCTATAAGAAGACACTTCTGACTTGCTTAAAATAGAAACTTCATATCTTAAGAAAGGATTCATTTGGTCTTCTATTGAAGCAACGGTCTGGTATTTTTCAAGAAAATCAGATTCAGGTTCTAAATGAAGACTCGGTCTTCTTAGGAAATTTTATAAAAGGTTTCATCTGGTCTTCATCTATTGGAGCAACGATCTGGTCTTCTAAAAGAAGACTATTTAGATACTTTAAAAGAAACCACGTATCCTATATGAAGACGTATTCGAATTCATTCTAGTCTGGTCTTCAATGACCAGGTCTATATCTGTGGGTAGACATTCTATTCTTCTACTTGAGGACTTTCTAGTTTTCTATGCAGAGCAGAACTCTGGTCCTCTATGTAAAGGCCTTTATGGTATTTTTCTTTGCTTCCCTTTCTGATTTCCTAATTTATTTAAGATCTTCTATCCCTTACTATTTTCAGATAAACTAATTGGTGTCCATTGTACACATGGTGTTAACCGAACCGGCTTTCTAATCTGTAACTATATGGTATCGGAAATGTCTGTGGAACCCAATGATGCGATAGAAAGTAAGTTGAGACCTCACACAGATATCAAAAAGTAACCCACAATTTTAATTTCATGTTTTTTTCGTTTGATTTTCCTAGAATTTGCCACAGCTCGGGGTCACAAAATAGAGCGTAACAATTATTTGAGTGCCCTGCGGAATATAAATGGCGAAAATAATGACAATGATAACACGGAAGATAATAACCCAACAACAACTACCTTAAACAATCCTCCCGATGATGATGATGATCGTAAATCTAGAGAAAGAACAACAATATCACCCCGTATGAGGCCGCAACAAAGTTCCGAACGTAGTTGGAGAGCTACGGAAAGAAGGGATCGAAGTGAAAATAATAATGATAATCGAAGATGGAGAAATCCCAACAGGAATTCACATGATAGAAATGAAACTAACAACAATAGCAACAGTAACAGAAGTTGGAGAAATTCCTCGAATAGACCGCCATCACCAAAAATGGCGCGACGTGCTCCTCACCACCAACAGCACCAACAACAACACCAGCATATAAGACGTCGCAATAAATATCAACAACAATGCTATCAACTGGCCAATAGTGGAAATAATAATTTTGAATTTCGTGGACGCAGTGCAATGACCTATGGCAATGATACGGACAATAGCTCGGCATATCGGCCGCAAGCGCACAATCAGATGTATAATCATAGCAACAATTACAACAACAATACTTATAACCAAAATGATCGCTATGATAGGCAGCATCATTCCAGAGAAACAACAAATATAAATCGTCCATATGGTCGGGATAATAGTGGTGGGGGTGGTGGTGATGAAAGGCAACGTTCTACCTCAGCGGGACGAAGCAGGCAATCGTATCACACAATAATTCATCGTCGTCAGCGGTAGTGGTGGTAGTGATACTATTTATTTTCCAAATTAAGGCCAATTTAAAGACAGTTCTTTGTTTGTTTTTTTATGGAGTACAACAAATGGACATGGTGTTTTATAAAATAACAACAACAACAAATAAATAAAAAAACAACAACAACAAATTCTCTAAATTATTTAGATTATCTACCTTTGAGATAATTTTTTTTTAATTTAAATTAAGTCCTCTCTTTGTAAATCGAGGATAATAATCGTCCGCCACTCCGATTAATCAAGTTGTGTTAAGTAAATGAAAATCATGTTCGTTTGTGCTAAGTCAGGGATAATCTCTATTGTGTATCACTGATAAATGTCATGTAATTTGTCGTTGTCACCACCAGAATGGTATATGCAATAAAGATAGGTTTTTATTTTGAGCCTAGACAAGGCTGTTGTCCTCATGGCGAAGGCCAGGGAATAAGAGACAAAAAGGAATCCAAAATTTGTTGAAAGACCACCCTGATTTTTATTTTCTTCTTTGAGACAAACTTTTGCACTTCTATGAGAAGTCCCTTTGGCCTTCTGTGATTTTGAGCCTAGAAAATGCTGGTGAAGAAGTGAAGATCTGCTGGCCTCTCTAGATAAGTAAAGAAAAGACACTTCTTAAAGAAAAGCTACAAGTCTTTTAGGAGAAGTCCTAGTGGTCGTCTAGGAGAAGAGCAAGGTAAGTCCAACGTGGCTGCTAGACAAAATATATAGAAAAAAATCTTTCGGGAGAAGCCCAAATGGTCCCCACTAATGAAAAATGTCTTGGTCCTCTAGAAGAAAAGAAAAAAATTTCTGGTAGGAGACTGGAAACTGATCTGGTTGGAGAATAGAAAATTATCCTGGAGAAGACCTATTTTTCTTCTGTATGGTCATCTAGGAGAAAGCCAACTACTCTTGTAGAAAATCTTCTATAAAACCCCATTTCTGGTGTTCCAGGAGAACAACAGTTCAGTTTTTAGGAGAAGATCTTGCCCTTGTCTTTTAGGAGAAGATTTGTGCGTCTTCCGGAGAAGGCCAAAATGTTCCACAAGGGGGAAGACTTACTGGTCATCTAGGAGGAGAGAAAGTGGTCTTGGTTTTTTAGAAAAAAAAATCTGGTCTATACGAGAAAGGAGATCAGCTGGTGAAGATCACCTGGATTTCTATGTGAAAACCCTTGAGGTCTTCTAGGAGAACAAAAGCTGGGTTTCTAGATGGAGGCCTACTGGTCTTCAAATAGAAGACTCATTGGTTTTCTATAAGAATAGATCCTTCCGATATTCTGGGAGAAGACTTTCTAAGTGAAGATCCTTCTGATATTCTAGGAGAATATCTTCTGCTATTCTAGGGGAAGACCCATCCGGTGTTCTGGGAGAAGACCTATTGGTCTACTAAGAGAAGATCCTTCTGGTGTTCTAGTAGAATATCTTCGGCTCTTCTAGGGGAAACCCCTTTTTTGTTTTTGGAAAAGACCTGTTGGGCTTCTAGCAGAACAGCTGGTTTTCTACGTGATTATGGGAGAAGACCTTTTGGTGTTATGGGAGATCTTCTAGGAGAAGGGAAAGACCCTTCTTGTTTTTTTTTTGAAAATTTCCTATATTTTTGGTAGACCACCCAGGTTATTATTTTCAAAGAAGAAGACCTGACAAGTTTCTCTTTAGAATAACTGTAGGACGAGAACTTAAGAAGAGATAGAGAGAGAACTTCGCTTTATTTACTCTTAAATTTATACACAGATCTCATAAAATTAAATTAGTAAAGTCTCCAACGTCTGCTACTGTTCCGGCACGGCTGTTTGGTTTTACAGGAACTCGGGAGGAACTGGGGATCCGGAGTGGGTTCCGGTCCTCGCTGCTGCTTCCGTTATAAGTTTTTACGCGGTCCTAGGTTTTAACACCTCTCTATCAAGGCGCACGATGACCTTGAAATCCAAAATTTTCGGAAGACCACCTAGGCTTTTATTTTCGACGAAGAAAGACTGGCAAATTTCCCTTTAGAATAGCAAAAGGGTCTTATTCTATGAGAAGAACTTGACAAGAGAGAAGGAGCGAGATTTTGTGGTCTTCTTTGAGAAAAACTTGTGAACTTCTATGGGAAGTCCATTGGATCTTCTGTCTGGTCTTCCATCAAAGCAATTTGTATTTTTTCAATAACAATGTTTGAATCTTTTTATATATTTCTTCCACGGGAAAAGCACCTTCTGGTTTTCTATGAGAAGACACTATGATCTTCTAGGGGAATACATTGAGGCTTTTATGCAAAAATTCTGTGGACTTCTAAGAGATAAAAAATAACCTTTGTGAGGTCTTCTATGGCAATACCTTGTGGTCTACTATGAGAAGTCTCTGTTTTCCTCAATAAGAATAGCCCAGAAGCAAGTCGTTTTCTCTCTGAAATGAAGACATTTTATTCCCATAAAAGAAAACCCTTTTGACCTTTTCGAGAAGCATTTTGTGGTCTTCTAAAGGAAGCTTTGATGGAAGACCTTTTAGATCTTCCAAAGAAAGACTGTTTAGTCTTCTAAATAAAGGCCTTTTGGACTTTTAAAAGAAGGTTTTGGTCCTCTAGAGGAAAAGCCCTTGGTCTTTAGACACGTTGCAGATTGAGTTTCTTTGACATAGAGGTAATAGAAAACTGTTATCTTTTCTGAATCAAAATTTAGTCTATTAAAGGACAATCCCTTGATCTTCGATCACGCTGCATCTGATTGGGTTTCTTTGACATAAAGGCTATAGAAAACTATTGTTTCCCTATTCTTTTCCGTATAAAATTTAAATAAAATAAAAAGAAGTTTTTTAAAGGACAACCTCTTCGTCTTCGATCACGTTGCATCTGGTTGAGTTTCTTTGACATAAAGGTAATAGAAAACTATTTTCCCCAACTCTTTTCCAAATAAAATTTTAGATTTCTAAAAAAGAAGACCCTTGGTCTTCGAAATGACAATCTTTTTGGTCCTCTAGAGGAAATTTTCTTGATCTTGGGCCACGTTGCATCTGGTTGAGTTTCTTTGATATAGAGGTAATAGAAAACTATTTTCATTCGCCATACTTTTTTCCCGAAACAAAATTTCAGACTTCCAAAGAGGAAGACCTTTATAGTCCTCTATAGGAAAATCTCTTGGCCTTCGGTCAAATTTTCAGACTTTTAAAGAGGAAATCCTTTAGAATACATCCTTTATTCTTGGTCTTCTAAATGAAAAACTTTTCGGTCCTCTAGAGGAAAATCTCTTGATCTTTGGCATTTGGTTGAGTTTCTTTGACATAAAGGTAATAGAAAATTATTTTCATTCACCATACTTTTTTAGAATCAAAATTTCAGACTTCTGTTCTTTAGTCCTTTAAAGTAAGAAACCTTGGCCTTCTAAATGAAAACCGTTTTGGTTTCTAGAGGAAAATTTCATGTAGATGGTTGAGTTTCTTTGACATAGCGGTAATAAAAAACTATTATCTTTCGCCATACCGAATCCGAATCAAAATTTTTTTTAGTCTTTAAAAGGAAGAGCCCTTGGTCTTCGATATAAATACCGTTCTGGTGTTCTAGAGGAAAATCTTTTCGATTTAGGTCACTTTGCATCTGGTTGAGTTTCTTTGACATAGAGGTAATGGTAAACTATTTTCTCTGACTTTTGAAATGAAAATTTCTGAAGACCTTATTTCCCCATACTTTGCAAACTTCAGACTTCTATGTAGGAGTTTTGTTCTGTGGACTGTATTAAGAAGACTTGAAATTATGAGGACGACCCAATTTTTGGGGTTTTACACACCTAGCACCTCATAGACGGAAAATTCTGGCCAATTTTTGCAAGACTTCTGTAGATGTCTGTATCCCTTTTGGCCTTCTAAAGGGAGACCTTTTGATATCCTAAATAAACATCTCTTGGACTACAAAATAATTCCTTTTAGCCTTCTAAATGAAGGCTATTTGGTTTCCCAACTGAAGATTTTTTGATCCTCCAAATTAAGACTATTTGACCATTTTAAAGAAAGATCGGTAACATGGCATCTGGTTGAGTTTCTTTGACATAAAGATAATAGAAAACTATTATCCCAATACTTTTTGGTATCTAAATTTCAGACTTCAATAGAAGTGACTTCGTTAATGGACTTTTTAATGAAGTCTTGACATTATGAGGATAAACTTCTAGGGTTTCAATTGTAGGACTTTTGTAGACGTGAAAATGTCTTCTGGCCCTCTGAATATCCTTTGGTTTCCTAAAGGCAGACCCATTGGTCTCCCAAAAGGAATATCCTTTTCTGATCTTTGAATTAAGTTATTTTTGGCCTTCTAGACTTTTCCCTTTGTCCCTAAAAAAAGGAAAACCCCTTTGATCTTCAAACAACTTTTCGTCCTCTAAAATTACCCAATGCATTTTTAATACCTGTCATTCTTTTTATGAGACATACGACGGTTTAACACAACATCTGTTATAAATAATCGTTGTTGCTTTTTAATTAATCACATATTATTAGTGGAAGACATGAGGACAACGAAGACGCCGCCGACACCACTTTAAATTCCTGGAATCGTTTTACATACTACTACTTATCTTTACACGATCACAATTATTCGGCCAATATAATAATGACAATGATCAGTTGTTTTTTCGTTCCGATATGGATCTGTGGCCGTAAGGCAATTTTGCAAATTTTTGTTGTTGTAATTTTTAAATATTAACAAGCTTAAAATCACTTTAATACAATACCGTTGTTTACTTAATTTGGTGGTCGGACTCACACATTGAACCAAGTGGTTTGGAAGGAAGAGAGGCTTGCTTGCGAAGATTGTGTGCTATCACAGGAGATTGTCAACTAAATGTTTATCTGAGGTGTTAAGATTGTTATGTCTTTGACATAAAAATCTTTAAAAAATACACGCCTTTCAGAGCCGTGAAAAAAATATTCTTTTAAAAATACACGCCTTTCATGGCCTTGAAAAAATATTCTTTTAAAAATCCACGCCTTTCAGAGCCTTGAAAAAATATTCTTTTAAAAATCCACGCCTTTCAGAGCCTT